GACGCTGGCTGTCTGGGGCGCTGGCGGCGCGCCTGGGATCGGGATTCGACGGCTCCAGCCTGCTTTGGAGGCCCCTGTGCAAAGGGGCAACCACCATGGGGGGACTGGCACACGGGGGGGGCACATGGGCCTGGAATCGGCGGTGCATCGCCGGGACCATCGGCCACAGGCACCCCCCGGTGACGAATCCGCACGTGCCTGGGCAGGTGGCTATCGGGCCCCTAGCAGCGATCCATGGGCGATGGGGGGATCGACGCACCCCCCCCATGTATGTATGTATGTATGTATGCATGCATGCATGCATGCATGCATGTATGTATGTATGTATGTATGTGTGTATGTATGTGTATGTATGTATGTATGTATGTATGGATGGATGGATGGATGGATGGATGGATGGATGGATGGATATGTATATCTATATATATATATATATATCCTGCATCGCTGCTCCTGATGTGCGTCCCCCGATTCGAGCGGACCTGGGGCCCTGGGGAAAGCGCGACGGGGGCAGGCTTATGTGCAAGCAGGAGGCTTCTTGAAAGGGCCTGGACGCTTCTGAGAAGGCTCCGCCTCAGAGGGTGGCCCCCGAGAGGCTCCCAAGAGGCCCCCAAGAGGCTTTCGGGAAGCTCCCAGGAGGCCCCCAGGAAGCCACAAGAGGGCCCCAAGAAGCATGTCCTCCTCATGTTTTCCTTCCTCCCCCCCCCCTGGTCGCTTACAGTCACAAGGCCAACGTTCTGAGGGCAAACGTTGCCACTGAAAGCAATCACTCTCTGAAGCACGCACTTCTGAAGGGAGCTGGATCAGCGAGGCATGGCAACGTTTCAAGACAGCTAACTTGGGCATGGCAACGGCAGTTCTGAAGGCACAAATGACGATGACACCGTGCCATGAAATCTGCTGTGCTGCGCTGCGCAGTGTTGATCTGTGTTGTTTCATGATGTGTTGAACCGTGCTGTACTTTATCACGATGTGGATCAGGTCGTCCTTGGCGTGCGAGTCCTGACCAAACTGATATGGATATTCAGCTCGAGCTGGTGAGCGCACGGCTCGCCCAAAGCCTGGTAGCAGTCGAGACGCGCGGGGCGCTCCACCAGCTCGAGCTCAAGAGCCGATATGGGCTGGCGTGACGAAGCGACGAAGAGCGAATGGACGCGCCACGGGACGGGCCAGGGGATGCGCCAGGGAACGTGCCAGGGGACGTGCCAGGGGGCGTCTCAGGGTGCGTGCCATGGATGTGTCAGGGACGCATCAAGGCACGCGCCAGTAGACATGCCAGGAAGCGTGCCACGGGAAGCACCAGGAGTCTCGCCACGGAACGCGTTCGGGACGTGCTAGTGGACGTGCCAGGGGACGTGCCGCGGGACGCGCCAATGAACGTGCCAAGAAACGTGGCAGTGCACGCGCCAGGGTGCGTGTCAAGGGAAGCGCTAGGGCACATGCCAATGAACATCACTCGGGACGTGCCATGCTGTGCACCACAAAACGTGTCAGGGGACACGCCAGGAGACAAGTCAGTGGGCGCGCCAGTGGAAGGGCCAGGCGGCGTACCAAGGGACACGCCAAAGGACACGACAAACAACTGCCAAAGAACGTGGCACGGGACGTACCGCGCGATTCGCCTGGGGACGTGCCACGGGACGCGTCAGGGTGCGTGCCGAGAGACGACCCGTGGACGAGGAAGGGGACGTGTAGCAGACGTGCTGTGGGACGCGCCAATAGACGTGCCAGGGTACGAACCAAGGGATGTGCCAGGGCAGGGGACGGGCGGCAGACGTACCAGGGGACGCGTCAAGGGACGTAACAGGAAACGCGCAAGGGGCGGTTCCAGTCGGCGGCGAGCGAGGGGGGGAAGGGAGGAGAAGGCCTTCTCAGAAGGCGGCGGGACTTCTCAGAGGCCCTCGCGCCTTCTGAGAAATGTCTGCGTCTGCGCGGAAGGCCCAGAACACTTCTCAGAAGGCCGGGGGGCTTCCGAACCCTCTGAGAAGGCCTTCTCCTTCTCACGTCCCCTCTGACCAGCCACCAGACCACCCCAACCCAACCCGAAGACCCGAATTTGACCCGAATTTCGGGTTGGGGGGGGTACGGGTTCCATGTGTTTCTCCAGTGTTCCACGACCCCCCCCAACTGGAAATGGAGGGCAAATTGAGGCCTTCGGGTTGGGTGGGGGTGGTTTGGCGGGTGGTGACCCTCCTCGCTCGCCGCCGAGTATTAGAAAAAGACGCAAGTTGCGGCTCCAGGGGCTGCGCCACGGGCGCAGCCGCGGGGCGTTCTGGGAGGTGGGCCAGGGAACGACCCGCACTGCTCTGTACCTCCCCCCCAGCCACAGGCAGTCATGCCGCCGTTCTCTGAGAGGGGCCCCCGGATTCTTGCCCCGCGCGAGCCCCCATAATGCGGGATGACGATTAATAAAAAATGGGAGAGAACGATTAAACAAATAGTTTCCTGCTATTTCTGCACAAGTTTCTGACTGGAGGAGAACGAAAAAATAGTTTTCCAGCCCGCGGCCGGTTTTTTCTAATTGTCATCCCGGGCGCCGCCGCGTTAACACGACCCCCGGTCATTTATTAATCGTCATACTCCATTACACATTGAGCTGCATCCGCGCTCCCAGGGCCACGACCCCTTTTGATTCACAATGGATCCGCGCGCGCAGCGCGGCGACTCCCTCGCAGAGCTGCCGGCTCCGCACGCCCAGCGCCACTATCTGCTGGAAGTTGCGCCAGGGCCGCGCTCCCAGGGGCACGGTCCACTGCAGAGTCGCTGCGTCCGCACTCCCGCAGCCACGATCCCTCCTGAGTTGATGTCGGTCCGAACGGCCCTTGCAAATCACACTGGAGCCGTGCTCTCAGGGCAAGGGTCCCTTGCAAATTGAGCTGGGTCGCACTTCGAGCGCCACGATCTCAAGATGCTGGCTCCGCGCTCCCAGGACGCCGATCTCTCGCAAATTGCACTGGATCTGGGCTCCCCTTCCAAGCCTCCTGAAACCTCCACACCCTGTTATCGGTCGAGGATTTGGCGTAGCAGGCGTGCCATCCTGATCAGGCGGGCGGGCGCAAAACCCTTTCGGACAACTTTTTCAAATCCGCCGGCCCCCAGGTGCTGGGGGGGAAGAGGCCCATGATGTGGCTGTTACCCTCCCCATTTCCCCTCCCCAGGGTCCGAAATACGAGGGGGTTGGGGGTGGGGACCCCTACGAGCTCGCTAACGCACCTCCAGGGCCCTTGGAGCCTCCAGATCCACCCTCCGCGGCGGCAAAGATTTCCAAAGATGCCTCAGAAGGTGACCCCAGAAGGGCTCCAGCGCGCAGGAGAGGCCTCCAGAACATCCTAGATAGCCTCAAGTCGGGCAGAGACCGCCCAAAGGCACCACAAGAGTCGGGCGTTGGTAGAACTGGGTTTAGTGGAACCTGGTTTGGTGATTTGTACCGGGGGCGCCCCCCCGTCCCATTTCCACTAACAGGAACTGCCGTCACCCGAAAAACACCAGTTTCGGCAAACCTGGTTTAGTGAATCTGGCCAATTGAGGTGCCCCAAGGCCCTACCACTAACCGGGTCCCCTTACCCAGGGTCCTGGCTATACCCGAAAGAGGGCCCCTCCGAGAGGACCCCAAAGAGGGCCTCGAGAGGCAAAAATCAAGGAGCTGCCATCTGTGTTCGAGTGACTTTCGCTTTCTCCCGCTGCTGGGCTGGGACGCGCAGAATATACTAGTACCATCTGTCCTCCTTGGAGGCGCGCGTCCGACCCGAACATATGGTATACCCATCTTGTAGTACATCGTTTCCCGAGCGGTGTGGCCAAACACCGCCCGCCACGACGCACATACTACCAGACCTCTCGGTGCGCGCGTCGCCCCTGGAGGGGCCACGCACACATGAAGTCAGCATGGTGGGGTGACGCCGACCCACCTGCGCTCCAATGACTCTCGAGTTCTCCCCCAGCACGGCCCGAACGCGAGCGAGGAGGAGAGGGACAGCGGGCGCCTGGAGGACAGGCGGCCCTGCCGGGGGGCACGCTGTCCCCCGGGGTGCTGCAGCGCCAGTCGGGCCCCGGACATGTGCGCCACGGGGGCCGGCTGCCCCCGCATGCCGACGACGGGCGTGCCGGGGCACGCTGCCCCGGAATGTACCAGAGGGACAGGCGGCTCCCGGCTGCCCTGGACCGGCGTTGTCCCTGGGTGCGTGGGTCGGAGTCGGCCAAGAGGGGGGTGCTGAATATCCAGTACGGCCCGGGAGGCTCACCAGACCGCCCCCCCCACCGCAGGCCTTCCAGAGGGCCCGGGTGCGGCCTTCAAGACGGCCTTCCAGAAGCCCACGAGACAGCAAACAAGCAGTCAAGAGGGCTCATAGGGGCCCCAACTCGCACCCCTGGGGCCTTCCGCCACAAGATTGCCTCCAAGACCCTCCAAGAGGCCCCCCCAAACTCCCCCGGAGGCCTCCCCAACCCCCAAAGCCTCCAGGACCCTCGAAAAAGCTGCGAGAGGCCTGCCCCCTAGACCTCCAAGAGGCAACCGAGGGGACCGCCCGACAGATGCGGAGGAAGAGGAAGACAAATCATCAACAACTGCACGAAGGCAGCACGTCTGGAATTGCCAAACAAGACATACGAAAACGGAAGCCGCACATCTCCCCGTCTGCGGGTCTGCGGAATGGCGTAAAACCTCTTGAGCAAGCATTCGGACTCTGGACCCAGTATATAGATCAGGAGTTTGAGCAACCATCTCCGAACCATGTATTCACTTCTACGGATGTGTGGGCATTTGTGTGTACCCCGTTATCTCTCGAGGACCCGGTGTGGGTGGGCATTTTCCTGAAGCAAGCACGCGCAGAGCGCACCTTTCGGACGAGCGACTTGCCTCCGGTTCCTCTTCTGGCAGAGGTCAACTCCACTGGCCGTGAGAACATGGCACCAGGGGACAAGCCCACAAACGAGGAAAAAACCCTGGGGGACCGCGCCCTGTCCGATCAAACTGTGCCCCGCCCGTTGCGCGGGCCGCCGACCTCGGACGGCTGCATCAGGGATCGCAGGAGAGGCCGGCCGTCGCGCATCCGGTACGTCGCATACCCGGTGGCCGCATCGCCGCCGTCTTCGGGCGGGGGCAGCACGACGTGCGCAACAAACGTCTTCATGTCGAAGACCTGGACGACAATCAGTCGCCCCTTCTCGTACCTGAAGATCGGCTCGCCGCTCAGGCTAGGGTCGGCGAATATCTCGAAAGCCCAGGTGGGATCTTTCATAGCCTCCGAGGTGATGATGCTGATGATGCTGCTGCTGAGTATGATGGTGATGATGACGGCGACCATGACATGGCGATGGACAACATGATTATGATGATGGCGATGCTACTTATGATGATGGTGACGCTCTCAGTAAGATTGACGATTATGGTGGCGACGACGATGATGGTGATGATGATAGCGATGATGATGCTCATGATGATGGTTATTTTGATGGAGGTGATGATGCTGATGACGTTGATGCTGATGATGCTGCTGGTAATGCGGATTATGATGATGACGATGATTGTGATGATGATGCTGATGATAGTGATGATGGTACTGATCAGGATGATTATGACGATGATGATGATGCTGATGATGATGATGATGATGATGATGATGATGATGATGGTGGTGATACTGATGAAGACGATGCTGATTACTATGATGATGGTGATGATGATGACGATGATGATGATGATGTTGATGATGCTGCTGCTGATGATGATGATGATGATGATGCTGATGCTGAGTATGATCATGATGATTATGCTGCTGATCATGCTGATGATGGACCGCGTGGCCTCCACGGCGAGGGGGTCCACCACGCACGCCTCCCAGCAGCGGGCCAGCAGCAGGTCGTCCAGGCCGCCTGTCTGCAACACCTCGCTGATGCCCCAGGTGGCTCGGCCCCCCAGGGGGGCGACGAAGACCTCTGGCGGTGCGCACAAGGGGGGTGGAGGGAGGGAGGAGGGCTTCTTAGCAGGAGGCTGCTTCTCAGCAGGCGCCGGCCTTACATCTCTAGACAAGGCCCGCGCCTCCCAAGAAGCAAGGGGTGCTTCTGAGGAGCCCTCCCCCCGCCCCCCCACCCCCCTCCGCGCGTGGCGGAGACCTGCCGCTTCCAGATCGGGTCGGTGAACGAGCGCCAGCCGCCCGTGACCGTGGCCCTCTGCGCCATCTTGGCCGGGAGCACCTTGTTTGACGGGCCCGGCGGAGGCATGTCCTGGGGACACAGAGCCCACGACCCCCTCGAGCACTGACCAAAAATCACGACGGGAGGCGCTTTTCATCCTGCTCTGCCTCTGGGGGGCCCAACCCGGCCTCAGGACCGTCAAAAGACGACTCAGGATGACACACCGGTCCCGAGGCATAGGTCGAAACCTCTGGGGGTCGACGTCACGAAAAACTCAGGACGCTGGGGGCCTGGGAAGGATGCCGATGCCACCGCTCCCCAGATCCGCCTCGAGAGGCGCTCGGACCATCCTTCCGAGGCGCATTCCTGACGGTGGCCACGAGGGCCACCCAGCAGGCCCAACGGGGGCGAGGGCTGACCTCGGTACGCATTTTCTCCTCGGTCTGTCCACGTCTTCCAGCTCCTCCTCCGCCGCCTCGCCAAAGTGCGGCAGCTGAGCTCGTCCTCGGGCAACGTCAACTATCCTTAGGTCGGGCATGTCCTCCTACAGGCGGACTTTGGACGAAAAATACAAATACCCCCAAGAGTATTCAAATAATTGTCCAACAATGATCATAAAGCCGGCCCAAGACGCCGCCAAGGAGCCCCAAGAGACCCCCAAGAGGCCCCCAAGAGGCCCCTAGGAGGCCCCAAAGAGGCCCCCAAGAGGCTTCAAAGAGGCCCCATAGAGCGCTCGAGGGCCGGCGGAATGAGCGAAGCGATTAATAAGTGTTCAACAATGATCATAAAGCCGTCCCCAGACTATGGTTGGACTAACTTCAAAGATTTCCCCTGTGTAGGGACAGGCCCGACTTTAACACCAGCCACCTCGTGCCCGATGTTGGCGCATGTGCGCGCAGTGTGGGGCAGCGCGCGCTGCGGGCCCCACGCGTGTGGGGAGCAGCACCCACTCTGCGAGCCCCTCGCAGTGATGGAGTCGGGCCTGCCCCTCTCCAGGATACTCCGAAATAGTAAAAAATAGATGGGGACGAAAATTTGTTTAACAAAATGTGATCATGTTTGGAAGATTGGTTTGACTATTCTCTCTATGTTTCGCCCAAAAAATCCGCCTGTGGGGGGACACGCCCGACCTAGGATTAGTGGACGTCCCTCGGTGTCCGAGGGCGGACCACGCGGAACCCACCGAGCTTCTCCTCCTGGGAGGAGGCTCCTGGTTGTCGCCCGCGGCGATGCGGGCGGCAATGCGAGCCGTCTCGGCCTTGAGTTTGGCCTCGAGCTGCATGTTCTCCGTCTCTTCCAGTACGCGTTCCAGCAATGGCCTCCGGAAGAACAGGGAGCGGCACAAGCATCGGATGCTGCAAGAGCAGGGCCACCCCGCGGATGCTGCCAGAAGTGTCCCTGACCAGACGGTGGCCTCAGCTTCTGAAGAGGGGCCTGAGTGGCCTCCAGATCATCCCCCGCGAGGCCCAGCGGGCCCCAGGGGCTCCAAGCCGGCGCGAGAAGCTGGGGGCACCTTCAGAGCAACATGGCACGACAGAACACACACACACACACTCACATTTTGGGAGGCCCGCGCGGTTATCTTGGGTCGGCACTGGACCCCCCCACCACTCGGCGGCACCTCCGGCGCCGCCCCTGGGCCCCTGGACGTCAGGGGAGGGGGTCCAGCACTGACCCAAGCAAGAAATCCGCGCGGGCCACGATTTCCCTTCGATCTCCAGTCGGGGCCTCCCGTCGAGGCGCAGGACGCTGACCCAGGCGCCACTGAAACTCTCGGGACCCACCAGGGCTATCCGTCCCAGCTGCGCCCGGGTGCCCACGATGTCTGCGAGCCCGATGAGGGCTCCAGCGGCAAGGTGGCCCAGCACGGCGCTGCGGGGGTCTCGACTCTGGGTCACGACGAGCGCCTTGGCGTCGTCCGCGCCATCCTGGGGAAGACCAAAGGGTACCGACTCCGCTACTCCCCGGACCTGTCCCAGGGTGCGTTCTGACAACATTTTCGAGGCGAATCCAGCGGTGGCGACGAGGGCCTCCGAGGAGGCCCCACCAGGGGAAAACGGGCGGAGGGTAGCAGTGTATGGGTACCTGTTCCTTCGCTGGATCCTCCGGAGCGAGCACCCTGAAGGTGGGCACCGTGATCTGGGACATCTCCGCGGAGTCCTCCTCGCGCCATTATCGGGCAGACGTGAGACTCGGGTACGGGGGACTCGGGTTGGCCTGACGGGGCCATCATAAGAATGACGAGACCCATTCTGAAATTCGACGCGAGCTCCCGCTGCAAACATCCCACGAACATTGGGCCGCCAGAATCAGGACGCGCTCGTCAGAAAAACGTCGGCAAACCCGAGTTCCCCCCCAACAGTAAGGAGCAGAGCGCGCAGGGGCGCGGGCCCTGGACCCAGGGAGGACTCCCTCCCGGCATCCTGAGCAGGGTCTGTTGCAAGTTTGCCCCGGCAGCCTTCGCTGGCAACTCACCGGGAGCCTCCCGTACCATCTTCTCGGCGCTTGCGAATCGACGCTAGTCGACGCTGATCGACGCTAAGGCGACGCTAAGGCGACGCTAGCCGACGTCAAATCGGCGCTATCTCATCGACTCCCAGACACGAACCGACGCTGGTCGACGCTACAGACGGAATCAAAAGGGTATAACAAGCTCCCATGGCATGCTACCGAAAAAGCCAGCTGAGGCCGAAAACTGCTGAAAAGAATAGGGCGGCTCTCCCTGCAGAAACCCTTCTCTTCGCGGCGGTCTTCCTTGTGCGCCAACGCGGGAAGACGCCGCATCCATCGCATGGCGTCTTCCTCCGCCGGGAACCGGTAGTTCGCAAAGTACGTCCTCAGGAGACACCAAAAAGCCTTGCATAACCATCAACTGTTGGAGGTCCTCGCGGATTTCTTGGATCTTGACTGAACCCCCTCCCTTGTGCGCGGACGGCGCCAAAGGCGGCGCCGATGGGGCTCAAACGCAGTTCCAAAAGATCCGCGAATACTGTCGAAAGTATATGTCTATGCGTTTTTTGTTGTACGATCCTCGCAAAAGTCTCCGCGCTCGGGACGAGGACCTCGGCGACGCCAGGCCTGGGCATGCCGATGCCAACGACCAGCGAACCCCGCGGGAGAGAGTGCACCTGGCCCCCGCTGAGGCGGTCGTTGTCGTAGAGCTCCAGCCTCGTCTCGGGCGTTCGGAGTGGAGCAATGAAGACCACTATCAAAATTAGCCTGGCGAAGGGCCCAACCATACGCAATTGTGGATACAGCAATTGTGAATACCATCTTCGCCCGCGCTCCCTATGTGGCCACGGCTTCCCGCCGGAGCCCGACATGCTCAGGGACACGTTTGTGGCCGTCTTCGCGGGCGCCGACGACCGCGAGGACGGCGTCCCCCTGACCGAAGAGCAGAAGAAGGAAAGGGTTCTGAGAGCCATGAGGAAGACTGCCATTGGCGCCTTCGGTGGAGCTCCTATGGGGCCACGATCCTCATGAGGGGTGTGCCGAAATGGCCCGAGGCCGCCATGCGAACCCTGCCACTGGGGGCCTTCGGTGGAGCTCCCTATGGGGCCACGATCCTCGTGAGGGGTGTGCCGAAATGGCCCGAGGCCGCCATGCGAACCCTTCGATGGAGCTCCCTATGGGGCCACGATCCTCGTGAGGGGTGTGCCGAAATGGCCCGAGGCCGCCATGCGAACCCTGCCACTGGGGCCTTCGATGGAGCTCCCTATGGGGCCACGATCCTCGTGAGGGGTGTGCCGAAATGGCCCGGGGCCGCCATGCGAACGCTGCCACTGGGGCCTTCGGTGGAGCTCCCTATGGGGCCACGATCCTCGTGAGGGGTGTGCCGAAATGGCCCGGGGCCGCCATGCGAACGCTGCCACTGGGGCCTTCGGTGGAGCTCCCTATGGGGCCACGATCCTCGTGAGGGGTGTGCCGAAATGGCCCGGGGCCGCCATGCGAACGCTGCCACTGGCGCCTGCGGTGGAGCTCCCTATGGAGCCACGATCCTCGTGAGGGGTGCGCCGAAATGGGGCGGGGCCGCCATGCGAAGCCACTGGGGCCTTCGGTGGAGCTCCGTATGGGGCCACGATCCTCGTGAGGGGTGCGCCGAAATGGGGCGGGGCCGCCATGCGAACGCTGCCACGGGGGCCTTCGGTGGAGCTCCCTATGGGGCCACGATCCTCGTGAGGGGTGCGCCAAAATGGGGCATGGCCCACCTACGAACGCAGCCACTGGGGCCTTCGGTGGAGCTCCCAATGGGGCCACGATCCTCGTGAGGGGTGTGCCGAAATGGGGCGTGGCCCACATGTGAACGCTGCCACTGGGGCCTTCGGTGGAGCTCCCTATGGGGCCACGATCCTCGTGAGGGGTGCGCCAAAATGGGGCGGGGCCACCATGCGAACGCAGCCACTGGCGCCTGAGGTGGAGCTCCCTATGGAGCCACGAAGCGCTGCACTGGGTGGGTGAAACGCAGGGAGGAGGGGGGAGGAGGAGGAGAGGAGGGGAGACGCGGGCCACCGTCTCTTCAAAACGAGGACCCAACACCACAGGATGGTTGGGAAAAAAGCCAGATGGGAATCGCAATCCCGTGGAATCCTTTGGAATCGGGGCCAAGACGGCGATCGCCGCATCGGTTCGGAAGTCGCAAACGGGACGCCGGATCAAAATCGAATCGAAACGTTTGTTTTTGAGCCAGGTCGTCAAAATGGGCCGGATCTGTAGGCTGTAAACTTGCAGACTCGATCTGATCGGCGCCAGACCGGATCGATCGAATCGAAACGGGTCCCGGAATGGAGGGGGCTCGGGCCAAAGGGGGAGTCATAGGAAAACGACGAAGCTCGCGATGGGCAGCCTCTGAATAAGAAAAATCGTGGCTTAAGGATGATGAGGATGATGATGATGATGCTGATGAGGAGGAGGAGGAGGAGGAGGAGGAGCCATAGGAAAACAAAGAAACTCGCGATGGGCAGTCCCCGAATGAAAGAAATCGTGACTTCTAGATCGACTGGGGCGCCCGCCCCCTGTGCGGGCCCACGACTCTCTTTCTGCGCCCCAGTGGGCGATGGGGGTCCAGAATTCTGCACGCGCCGCGGGGGCCGAGGTCGGGCTTTCGAGGATCGAGGTCGGGCTTCTCTGGGCCTCCCGGGGCGCCCCCGCGGCCGCTGGGAGCTGTGAGAGCCCTCGCGAGGACTACACGGGCAGATCAAACCCGATCCAGCGGCTACTGGGCTGGACTGGGCCCGATTCCTCCGAGGATTCTGCCCGACTGCGCGGGGAGTCGGGCAGGACACCGCATCGCGACCAAGGGCCGATGCTGAGTTCAAGGAGCTGTAACTCTGGAGATCTGATGTCTTGACTTTTCCATATTAGAGATGCTTACATCGATGTTTGGCATGGTGTGTGTTCTTAATCCTCTTCCTCAACATGTTGTCGACTGCCCCTCTGCGAAACAGTTCCAGAGTGAGCTACGGTCAACTACAGTTGAGGCCATGAGGTCAGGCCACTGCGCTTGGCACAATATTTTCAGCGTGCCGTGCCGCGCTCCGCAGCTACCCCTTGTGCGTGATTCGGTCTGAGGGTTCGTCGTAGAACAGTATACACGCCTACTCCACAGTCCGTTCTAAAGCGGGGGTGGGGGGTAAGATTTGGGGGGGTCCGATCTGAACGGTCATGGAGGGCTCCATGGGGGTCTGGGCAAGAGGCCGCCTGTTCATGGCTGGTCCGGGGGGGGGGTCTAGACCTGCCCGTCTGGTGGAATGCCCCCCCCCCCCCCCTTGCATCACGCAATGCGGAGTGCATAGATGTGTCAGATGTTGAAGGCTCGCCCCGCTTCGCCTTGAAGCTTGGCCCACAACGTTGGCACGCGGGGGGAGCAGTCTCAAAGCCGCGAAGACGCGAGAGAGGCGGCCGCTCGGGTTCACGCAGAAAGGGGAAGCAAGGAAGCAGGGAAACACATGATACACACACGCACACACACACGTCTATATATATATATATATAGATATACATATATATATGTATATATGTGTATGTATGTATGTATGTATGTATATATGTATGTATGTATGTATGTATGTATGTATGTATGTATGTATGTATGTATGTATGTATGTATGTATGTATGTATGTATGTATGTATAGCTCGACCTCCCTATACATATAAAGCAAAATCGTGTATGTGTTGGTATGCATGCACACAAGAAACAACGCGCGCGCTACTCGAGCGCTTCGGTTCTAGTCGACTCCAGACATGCTGTCTGCAGGATCGGCAGGGAATGCTAGGCGCTGTGAAGAGCGGCCAAGAGGGTGGTTTAGCGCCACCTCCGTCTCTGCATCCCCCCTCGTCATCTTGCGTCTCCTCGCACTCGCCCGGGACCGAGAAACCTCCGACCAAAGAACACTGACAACCTCCTGCCATCGTCCTCCATCCCGCCCTCCTCGTCACCGTCCTCCTCTCGATTCGAGCGATGTTCCCTGAGAGGCTTGACCGATGTTTCCCTGGCGAAGTTTGAAACGGGCCGCGTGAGCTGCCTTGAAGCAGAATGCACGCGCTGTCACGCTGACTGGCGGAGCACATGCAGAAGAAAAGGAACGGGGAACGACGGAGGACGGTGAGAAAGCAGACTTCAAGCATCATGCACGGGCTGTCACGCCAGGTGGCGGAGCACGTGAAGCAGGCATCAGGATATGAAGAAAAAGGGGGGATCTACTAGGGGTTGAGATCGAAGAGCAGGTTGGCCTCTTGAAGGTGGTTGGGAACTCTTGGGCGGTCTTGCCAGATCTTGCGGCTCTTTGTTAGCCTTCTTGGAACAAGTGTATGCTCTACTGGGCCGTCTTGGGGCTCTATGGCCCCTTGCGCAGGCCCTGTTAGGCAATATTTGGGGCAGCTGTCGGACTTTCTATGGACGCTGTGGGATGTCTTGGGGCCTTCCAAAGCGCTTCCAAAGCTATCGAAAGGGAAAGCACGTAAAACCCAAACGAAGTTGGAACACCAACTGATTTTTGGCAGATTGAAAGCGTCTGGGACACTCTTTCTTGGGGCCTCTGGGAGCATGTCTTGAAGCATCTCGTGCTCTCTCGGGGCCATCCTGGAATTACATTGGAGTGCCCTGGCTAGGCAATTGTGGCAGCCTCTGGGCGTTGTCTTGAGCCATCTTGTACGTCTCTTGAAGCTGCAATAACTTTCAAAGGCTCAAGACGGACTCCTAGGGGAAAGTGGGTTGCCGGGTGTGTGTGGGTAGACAAATGGGCCACCCCTGGGCCAGGGGACCCAATCGCCGATGCTGTCCAAGATACCCATGTACGGATTACTTCTTTGTCCGCCACCGTGTCCCCTGGCACGTTGAGGCGTGCTAGGGTTAGGTCGGGCCTGTCCCCATATGGGCGAATCTTGGACACACAATTTCTAAAACATGCCCAACACAGATCCCAAACTGATCACAAAATGCTCAAACAATCGCCCCCAGACTATTTCTTGACTATTTTTGGAGATCCCCCTGTAGAGGGACAGGCCCGACTTTATGCTAGGCTGCCAGGTGCTGCTAGGTAAAGCGTCTGTAGCCTCCGGCGCCCCCCCATCTCGAGGCATCCCCTCCCATGCATCGCACCTTCTTCCGAGGCCCCCTGCACGGCAATGACGCCTCCCTCGAGGTCCCCAAGGCCACATCGACGGCCCAGCAAGGCCGCCAACACGACCCAAGATGGGCCCGCGATGGCCAAGGATGGCTCCAAGACGGCCCAAGAGAACCCTAAGAGCACTGCCAAGAGGGCTCTGAGAGGCCAACATCGCCACAATCCTTCAGACCCAGTACCTGTTGTGCATAATTACATGTTGGATCTTCGAAGAGACCAAGACAGCCCAAGAAGCACCCAAGATCGACCCAAGACGGCCCCCAAGAATGCCCTAGGACGGCCCAAGAGGGCCCCAAGAGGGTCCAAAAGGCGCCCAAGACGGCTCAAGAAGGCCCCGAGTGGAGCACGAACTGAAATGTCGAGCCTTCCGCCACGAGGGTAGTCCCGAGAGCGCCAGCAGGCGTCAAAGAGGACCCCAAGAGGCCCCAAGGAGGCCCAAACGATGCATGACAATTGCCTTCAAGAGGCTCCTCAGAGGCTTCACCAGAAACCCGAGCAGGCAACAGCATCACCACCTTATAACCACCATCGCCATCGCCATCGCC